CCTCAGATTGCGAGTCGAGCGCCTTAACCACCTGGCCATGCCGGGCCGTACGAAGCCTAGAACTCGCGTCATATAGAACTTGGTGGGTTCGATGAAGCTTAGAACTTGACATGTGTTTGGTGAAAACTAGAACACACGACATGTATTTGATGAAGCACAGAACATGAAACGTGTTTGATGAATTCTAGAACTTGACATATGTATGATCAAGCGTAGATCCCACGACATGTATTTGATGAAGCACAAAACATGAAACGTGTTTGATGAATTCTAGAACTAGACATGTGTTTAATAAAGCTTAGAACTTGACAAATGTATGATCAAGCGTAGATACCACGACATGTATTTGATGAAGCACAGAACATGAAACGTGTTTGATGAATTCTAGAACTAGACATGTGTTTAATAAAGCTTAGAACTTGACAAATGTATGATCAAGCGTAGATCCCACGACATGTATTTGATGAAGCGCAGAACAAGACACGCATATGATGAATCCTAGAATTTGAAATGCTTTTGATGAAATCTAAAACCCACGACAAGTGTTTGATGAAGTCTAGAACATTACATGTAGTTGATAAGATGTAAAACCCATGACACGTGTTTAATGAAGACTATAGTTCACGACAAATGTTTGATGAAGTCTAGAACATCACACGTGTTTAAAGCCTAGAACTCACGACAGGTTTGGTAAGGTCTAGAACTTGACATGTACTTGATGGTAACTGGAATTCACGACGTGTGTTTAATTAACCTTAGACCTTACTACATGTGTTTGATAAAGAAAATGGAATTTGAACCTACATAAAATCAAGCGATTATGGCTAAACCTCTGTAGATAATAATACCCAACCCAATGAAAATCCAAAGAAATAAACAGTGAAGAAGAAGTTAAACATCAGAATAGCGGAAAATATATTTCGAAATTCTTTTATTAATGGTCTGTCAGAAATATCTGGCACTATATATAATTATCAGAAATATCTGGCACTATATATAATTATCAGAAATATCTGGCACTATATATAATTAGAAATGAGACAGAGCAAAGGGAAATATGTTATTTTTGACGACTTTTTTTTTTTCTTGTAGAATATTCTTTTTATTCTTTCTAGAATATTTCTTGAATAAACAATTGAATCTTACCACCCCTCCTATATCCATCAAAACAGCAAAGTTCGTCAGGTGGGAACACGAACATTGTGTGTGAGTACGACTAGTCTTTGTAAGATGACAACCACTTTCATCCCAATCTCCACCAGAACTTCTGAAATATAGAAAGAGCTGTTGGTGCAAAAAACCTATTTATGAGCTTAGAAATGACACCTGTCTTTGCTAAGATCTAATCTTATTTGGAAATCGTAGATACATTTTATTTTTCGTTCAGTAATATTTAAATTCGTCAACTTATGTAACAGTTACAAAGAAACAAGTTTGCATTGTAAAAATATATCAGTGTTTAAAGAAAATGTGCTTGATATTTGAAATAAGTACTAGAATTTTTTTTTATCATAATATACTTTATGATGGTTGTGTTTTCTTAAACCGGTAGTTGGTAGTTGGTTATAGTTATAACACTTTAGCACTTAAGCAGAACTTGAAGTTTAAGTTGTTCTCAGGTTTTTAGGGCGAAACCTTGAAACATATATTAGTATCAAAAACGAAGAAAAAAGATGTTTTCTGTCGAAATATATATATATATATGTAGAGAGACTATAAAATATTCCTTGTTTTATCATAAACACACTTAAACCTTTGAAACAGAATATACATACAAACATCCTTGGCAAACTCAAGTATGTTTAATAGAATTTGTTGATAGCAAGAAATAATATAAATTTATACTTCTTACAAAAACTTTTGTTTTAGAGCATTTTTAGAACAACAATGTTGACAAGTATAATAATTATGTAGCAATGGGCTGTTCTTTTATGTTCCTTTAGTATTTAACCAGACAACTAATTAGTTTTGAATTATTAAAATAAAAGATTTTACGATATATTTTTTATTGATATTATTTACAAAAACTCTCTAGTAAATTGATCAAAGGCAAATCTAGAAACATGGAAAATATATACAGCTATGACTGGTTTATATTATCATTACTAATGTCGAAATTTACAACAGAAAATTGATCAAATAATTATTTTATTTCAAATATCTTAATGAACACAAACTTAAACCCAGGGCAGCATTAATCTCAGAAATTTTTATCCCTTTAATTAGTAATTGAAATATATCTTCACAACAGAGTTTAAAACGTAACTTAGATAAACTGAATCTAATAGAGGGCGATTCAGTAATAGATAAAACAATATTTGCTTACTTAGAAAAATTCCAGAACACACAACGTGGGTTGGTAAATTCGTCCACTTCAAGATGCTCCAAAGAAATTCTGACAAACTTGCCCTCGGGCAGGTTAAAAGAAAAGTTGTGCTTTCCGAATGTGAATCCCACGACTTGAGAATTTACTTTAGTGTTATCTAGTGAACTGTGAAAAAGCGGGAAAATGTCATCAAATGTCATCGGAATCTCATATAAGGTGAATATTAAAAAAAACTCTATTTGTCAAACATCATATATATATATATATATATATATTAGTTTTAGCTACTTATCTTAACATTTTAAGCTGTCATCTTCTTCAGAATATAGAAAACTAGACTTGTTGATTAGATGATTTACGTTAGCGATGCGGACTTAAACTCTTCTTCGGGATACAGCACAAAAAAAAAGCTAATTTATTTTTTAATCAAATTGAGTTCATAAAAGTTTATAAATTTGTTACCAAACAGTCGCATGTTATTTTCAATGATGGCAAAAATTATCATACTGATAAGGAAGCAAAGGCTCATAACTTTCTGGTAGATTATTACATTTATTTCTAACTTACGTTTATTAAAAATGGCGGAACAGATGTTCTCAGGAGTTTAACCTATATTATTCGCAGATACAAAGACGACAATCTTTCCATTTTGAAAAAGAAAAGTGGGGTTCAGTCATTTTCACAATTTTTGAACAGTGAACATCAGGGTGTTAAATTCGATGACGAGGAACCCACTTTGAGACTAATAATGGCTGGAGACGGCTTAAATGGGTAATGAAGAAAAACTTTAATATAAGTTTAACATAACAGCAAATGTACAACGTTTCGACAAGGTTTTGTCATCATCAGGGTGTTAAATTCCTGTTTGAAAAACAAAACTACTCGTTTCCCTTTTTTCAGATTTGAATATATAAAGAAAAAATTGAGAAATTTATTTCTATCGTTAATTTTAAATTATATTTCATTGTAATGTTTTTTATCCACTTCAACTGAATAATTTGAAAGTTTATAGTTTTAATCTTACGTAATGACTTACCAATATTACTTACAAAGTTGCTTGATAAACTTTACAATCTCTAACTTTCCGCCTACCTATTGACTTCCATAGTCTTCGGTTAAAAAAGAAGGTGAATAAAATTACAATTGGTGTCTCGCAAATGTGTTTTTAATTCATTTCATGTCACTGGAGTATTTTTTATTATTTTATTTTAGTTTGTGATGTTTTTAATTTCGCGCAAATCTACTCGAGGGCTATTTGCACTAGCCGTCCCTACTTTAACAGTGCTAGGCTAGAGGGAAAGCAGCTAGTCGACACCACTTACCGCAATCCCTTATGTTATTCTTTTACTAACGTATAGTGGGATTGATCGTCACATTATTGTGCCCCCACGGCTGAATGTCATGTTCGGTGACGGGGATTCGAACCCGCGACCCTCAGATGACGAACTTCATTCCGTACGTGGCTATATAATGTCCATAAGTTACTTTATGCTCAACTGAGCAAAGAAAAATCTTCGTTCACCGTACGTTTGTTTGTTCTTAAGCACAAAGCTGTACAGTGGCTTATCTGAGCAGTGCCCACCACGGAAATCAAGCCAAAATATTATCGTTATAAGTTATTAAGCTCACCGATGTGTGGCAGGTGGATTATTTAATTTTAGAATGGACATACTGAAATGTATATTCTTACATCAAAACAAACGAGATTTATAAACAAATAAATAGAACTACCCAAGATTTATATATTTACTAAAACTAAAGATAAATTTTAAAAAACCTGATATTCGTGATGACAATAAAACTGGATTGGTAGATGCTTTTTTTACGTTCCTTATAATTTTTCTAATTGTATTATAAATTTCAAAAGAAAGGTTTGTAAAAATATATTTTAAATCTATCTTTTGTCAGGCCTACTTGAAACGAAAGGTATTTCTATCATATTAGGAAAAGGAATGTGGAAAAATATCAGCAGTTTAACTTGGATTTATTACGAATATTAAACTTAATGATTTTTCAATACTCTGCCAACGTTCGACACCTAAATTGTAAAGCTTAATTTCATAGGTGTTATGTAATAAGTTTTATGCTTACGAGACCATAACCTTAAACTGCTAGATTTAGCTCTTTATTCTGCTTTTCATAACGCTATCATATTATTGAGTTTTGTTTTATACGTCAGACATGGCTTTTGAGATGCGATCAGACTGCTTGTTTATCGACTATAAAAAGTCCATTTAAAAGTATTCTTTAAAATGTTCAAACCAAAATGAAATGTAAAAACATAACTTTGGTATTTCTACCTGTTAATTCCTTTGAGCGGACTCAAAAAATTGTTGATTTGTTCATACAAGACACCAAAACCAGTCATGAAATCACACACACGAGGCCATTCATCAAACGTCAAACCACCCTCTATTTCCAGGCTAGATTTATATCTTTTTTGGAATTTTTCGGAAGGAAAGCGATGGTTTTCCACAATGGAATTTCCAAGGAACTTGAATACTTCTAGCGCTACAAAAATATTTTCATAACACAATATATTTTTTATATGAGAGTAATTTACTTTTAAAACAATTGTTATCTAAATTTATATCATTTCGTTTGTTTTTTATTTAAAAAAAATTTATACAATGGGTTATCTGTGAGCTGTCTACCGCAAGTATCGAAACCCAATTTTTGGCGTTAAAAGTTTGTTTGTCATTAAGTGCAAAGCAACACAATGGGCTATCTGGTGCTGTGCACTCCACGAGTATCAAAACTCGGTTTAGCGGTATAAGCTCTCAGACTTATCATCGAACCACCGGGCTATTAATCTCTATAACGACTTAATTACCTGATTCTTATATATATTTATTGATGTTACTAATATAGTTTCAATATCTTTATTTTTTGGTTATTCGAGTGTAATGTTTTATCGGGGGTAATTACTAACTTTATTAATATTACACTTGCAACTACCTAAGTTAAATATTTGCTATGGTTGATAGCCTAAAAGTAATGCTTCTTTTATTCTTAATAAATTAGATCAATCTGTCTGTTTAGCTGTCTCAACTAAGCGATGGGTTCAATCACAAAATACAACTCTTATGTTTAATGGTCAACTTCTCTGTATTTTCAGATATTCTCACCGATATTGGATCTCTGCACTTCTGTGCTATTATTGTCTACGTAACAACCAAGTCTTTCGCCAACTTTCCCCATTTCCTTCAAAATTCTGCTTGCCGGTTCTCTCTGTTCGTTCTGAAATCAAGAAAGACTTAAATATTCTGACAGTATCAGAGCTAGAGTTCACTCATTATGACTATAAGTATCATCTACAAATCCTCTAGTATTAATGTAAAGTCTGATGAAGACAAACATTTTTGTAATCAAACATTCTGTAAACCAGTTTAGATTACCTAATAAAGAAATAACAATTGAACCAAGGCAAATATTACGCTGTACATTAACCTAGTAAAAAATAAAATAGAATCACATTACTTTTAAAATTAAGTAAAAACAAAACAAAGATTACATGAAAATTTGTTCTATTATATAATATGTTAAATACACTAAGAAGTATTGAAACAATCATTCTTACAATCATTTCTTAAAATTTATGGCTCATCGAAATCGAATGTAAGTATTCACACCAATGACAGCATTAAATGTAAATATTCACACCAATGACAGCATTAAATATATATATATATATATATATATATATATATATACTAATACATATAAGTAGTAACAAC